CCCCATCAGCATACATCCCCAACAGCCACATGAGCAGAAAGGGCTGCGCACAGAGGAGGAGATAGTGTCTGTGAGAGAGAGAAGGAAAGAGATGAGGCGGGAGGGAAGGGAAGCAACATACAAAAGCCGCCGTCTCGCTCCCTTGCTGTATGCCTCTCATCCCTCTCCTTTTCGCCCACTCCTCTCATTCAGGCTGCCTTACTTGGGCTCCCCGCGGGCTGCAATGGAGCGGCGGGGGGCTTACATTTCTTCCACACGACGTGCGTGGGCGGCCCCCTCTTTCTCTACGCACGACAAACAACAGCAGCCAACACAACTACAACAGCCCCCGAGAAAGGTAAACAACACAAAGTGAACCCGCGGACCAACGGTGATGGACAAAAGCTTTATGTGTGTGTGTGCATGTGCGGGAGATAAGCACCAACGGCATGGGTAACTCCCAAGGCTTGACGGGCTGATTGAAGGTGCGGGATAAATGACAGCAGCTCAATGCCGATGTTACTAACGTNATGCCGTTGCGCTTTCGTCCCATTTTTATTATCATTGCCATTTTATACCACCCACCCTTCGGCTTCATGTGTCTTGCATGCGCGCAGACGAAAAAGAAAATCTGCGTGCGTGTGTGAGCCGTTGAGGGGGCTCCTATCGTTGTTTGGCGTGGTGACTACCTGTGCGGATCTGGGCCCAGCATATCGCTCTAGCTGCGTTCCTTATCGTCCACAGCTTCAGACGCTTTGTTTACTTTATGTGGGATTTGTTGTACTTAAAAGTCACCGTTCGGTGTTCTTTGTGGTTGCCGTCGTGGGCCACTCGAAGGAGATCCCACGGCCGTGCTGCTGAATCATATTCTGCACACACACACACACACATATATATATATATATATATACACACCTGCGTGCGTGAGAGAATGATTGGGTCCCTCGGATGATTCATGCACTCTTCTCTTCTGCTGTCAACACACACGAACAAAAAAAAACACGGACACAAACAGACACCGAACAAGACGAAGCGAGAACCTGCGAGCTGCGAGGAGGTGCATCTTCAGTGACACCGCAGGCACACACAGTTCTCTCCCTCACGCACAAACTTAACAGGAACATCAGTGGTAGCAGCCAGTAGTGGGGGGAAAAAGGGGAGAGGAACGGAAGTGAAAGAAGTGAAAAGACCATGCCAGCAGAAGCCACACGTATGCCATTCGATATTGACGCGGAGACGCTCTACAGTATCGTCACTGACCCTGTGGAGGGGCCGCGTGTGTTCAAAAGCCTGGGCGGCGTGCGAGGGCTGATGCAGCGGCTGCGCACCGATCTCGCGCGCGGGCTGCCTTCGGAGAGTGCCGCCGAAGCGCAGGCGCGATGCGCGGCTTTCGGTGCCAACGAACTGCCGCCAGCGAAGGAGGTAACGTTCATGGACCTCGTGCTCGACTCGCTGGGTGACCGAATGCTGCAGCTGCTGGTGGCCTCTGCGGTTGTGTCGCTCGTGCTCGGCCTCACTGTCGCGGACGCAGAGACAGGCCAGCCTGACTACTCGAACGGCTGGATGGAGGGCGCGGCTATTCTGCTCTCCGTCGCCATCGTGACACTCGTCAGCAGCCTCAACAACTATCAGAAGGAGCAGAAGTTCAGGGANCTTATGCGGGATGCACCGGCAGCGCGTGTGACGGTCATGCGCGCCGGTGCGGTGGTGGAGACTACAGACAAGGAGTTGCTTGTCGGCGACATCCTCAACGTGGCCGGGGGTGATGTGCTGACGGTGGACGGCATCGTGGTGCGCAGCAACGCCTTCAAGGTGGATGAGTCTGCAGCAACTGGCGAGAATGACGACGTTGTGAAGGATGCCGCAGCGAGCCCGTTCGTGCTCTCAGGCTCAAACGTTGTGGAGGGTGACGCAGCAATCCTCGTGACGGGTGTTGGCGCCAATTCTTTCGCCGGCCGCATCTCGCTGCAGGTGCGCACCGGGAGTGAGGAGACGCCGCTGCAGGAGAAGCTCGCAGCACTGGCTGATCAGATCGGTAACTGCGGCATGATCGCGGCGGCGCTCATGTTCACCGCACTGAGTCTGCGTGAGCTATTCCACACCATCGTGATGGGGTGGCGGCCACTGCACTACAAGCCGTTCCTCGACAGTCTCACCACAGCTGTGACGATCGTGGTGGTGGCGGTGCCGGAGGGACTGCCTCTTTCCGTCACCATCGCACTGGCATACAGCATGAAGCAGATGTTTAAGGAGAAAAATTTGGTGCGGCACCTCGTTGCCTGCGAGACAATGGGGGGAGCTACCACTATCTGCACCGACAAGACTGGCACCATCACGCAGAATGAGATGACTGTGACGGACGGCATCACCGCAGAAGGTATCCGCTTTACCATGTCCGGTGGCAAGGACAGCGACGAGGCGGTACTAGCGGAGGTCTTCACATCGGCACCACCACTGTGTGGGCTTCTCGCTGAGGGTATCGCAGTGAACAGTACCGCCGCGTGGCGGCGAGTAGAGGATGCCGCAACACACACCAGCGCTGTACGCCTCACAGGTAATAAAACGGAGCAGGCAATGTTGACATTTGTCAATCGTCTCGGGGAAGACTCCATGACGGTGAGGGCGGCAACGCTTGAGCGCGTGACACTCATCGCGGTGACCACACCCAACACCGTGGCACCGTCCTGGCCGTCCGTTATGGCAGCAGAGGACGGTGGGGGCGGAATCAGTAATAACAAGGGCAAAGATGACAATGGTGCCGCCGCTGCGGGATCGGCACAGGTGCTTACTCATGAGCGGGAGATGCGGTCGTACCCATTCTCCAGCGCGCGAAAGCGCATGACCACAGCGCTGGCACTGCGGAAAAGTGGTATTGTGCGGTACCACGTCAAGGGGGCGAGTGAGCTAGTCCTCGCCATGTGCGCCTACGTCCTGCAGCGCGACGGGACACGAGTACCACTGAGTCCTGCCGCCAACGACAAACTGCAGGACGCCATTATGGAAATGTCGCGCCGCCGTCTCCGCACAATTGCGGTGGCGTACACCGATGAACCACTGCCTACGGCGGCAGCGGGAAAGGCGATACCACCATCATCATCGGCAGTAACGGCAACGACGTCGTGCGTGTTCCCCGAAACAGATGAGCACCTTCCGCCGCTTACGCTCATTACCATCCTCGGCATCCGCGATCCTGTGCGCCCGGAGGTGCCACAGGCTGTGCTACAGTGCAGACGTGCCGGCATCATTGTGCGTCTCATCACAGGCGACAACAAGGCCACTGCAGTGAGTATCGCACGCGAGGTGGGGATATACGGTCGTGTGTGGTCCGGGTCTGCGGCAGGTGAGCAGGGGCTGGCGCTAGAGGGGCCGCAGTTCCGCGAGTTCGCTAAGAGCGCACGGAAGCTGAACCAAATATTGCCGCGACTGCAGGTTATATCGCGTGCATCGCCGCTAGACAAGCAGATACTTGTGTCCGAACTCATGAAGCGCGGCGAAGTCGTTGCTGTCACTGGCGACGGCACCAACGATGCCCCAGCGCTGAAAAATGCACACGTGGGGTTTTCCATGAACGCCGGCACGGAGGTAGCGAAGACAGCCTCCGACGTGGTAATCCTTGACGACAACTTCAGCACCATCGTAACCGCCATCAAGTGGGGGCGCAACGTCCACGACAACATCTCGAAATTCCTACAGTTCCAAATGACAGTAAACGTTGCAGCTGTTGTGTTTTCCTTCATCGGGGCCTTCATAAATGGCAAAGGTGAGCCCCCACTGAAGCCAGTGCAGCTTCTGTGGCTAAACCTCATCATGGACACACTCGCGGCGCTGGCGCTGGCCACCGAGTCTCCGCGTGATAATGTGCTTGACCGTCAGCCGCGTGGGCGTGAAGCACCGTTAATAACACGCCGTATGTGGATTAACATTCTGGGTCAATCCGCTTACCAAGTGCTCCTGCAACTGTGGGTGCTGCACTGTGGGCACACCTTCTTCCAAGTTGAACCTGGCTCAGAGGAGCATCTTACAATAGTCTTTAATGTGTTTGTCTTGCTGCAGCTCTGCAACGAATTCAACGCCCGCATTCTGGATGATAAACTCAACATTTTTTTCGGATTAGAACGCGCCCCACTCTTCCTGCTCGTTGTCGGCCTCACCCTCCTTGTGCAAATCATAGGCGTGCAGTACGGCGGACCTCTCATGCGTGCGGTCCCGCTGTCGTGGCCGCAGTGGCAGCGGTGCCTGCTTGTTTCGTTCATCCCGACCCCGCTCGGCCTGCTGCTGCGCTCGCGCCGCGTTGAGGAGGCGCCGCTGCCGCCGCCGCCGGTTGTGCTCGACGACGCAGAGGAGGCGCGACTGCAGAAGGCCTCCGCACACCGCCGCACCACACTCCGCGAGGCGGCGCGGAAGGTGGTCGTGCTCCTGAAGGTGGTCGCGGCCCTCACCACTGCCGCCGCGGACGCAAAGAGGAAGAAGCGCTACTAATTGGGCGATCTCGTAGCAGCTGTGTTGGGCACTCTCTCTGAGGTGAGAAGGCCCTCACCTCCTAGGTCAAAATCGCTCAGCGGCTCTGGCGGATCCGCGCGGTCGTGTGGGCGACCACACGGAACCACACGAGCAGATGTATTCAAACAAACAGACACCTGTGGGGCTTTAATTTCGATCGGTTTGGATGGAAGGACAGAGTGAAAGGCCCGGCTGGAGTATCCGTGAGGGTGATTGTATCCGATGAGTGTGTCTCTGTGTCTGTCTGTCTGTCTGTCCGTGTGTGTGCTTCGGGGCAGCGCTGTTATGTGGTGCGTGCCCGCACACATTTTCCCCTTTTTCTTAATTTTCATTTGCTTGTTTGTGTGCTTCTTTTGTTTTGCGCCTCCCAGACATGTGCCATGTGCCGGCTTCTCTGATGTGCGTTGGGGGGTTGTGCCACTGGCACTTGGTGGGGGAATGGTGTGGAACATGCGTGACCACATGAATGAGTGAAGGAATGAAAGAAGTGAAACGGGGCGGAGAGAGCGTCGGTTCAAGTGTTTTTTGTTTTATTCGAGGAACTAGGGACTGTGCCTCGGCAGTAGATACACCCGAGTGGTGCGGAGGGGTGTAACGAAGGAAGGGGGAAAAAAGGGAATAGGGGGAATGCATTTTTGCCCCGTAACGGTCGGTTTCTTCTTTGAGGGAGTGTAAGGGCCGAAGGTGCGCTGTGGTTTCCTTCATGCCGGAATACGATTGCCGTTTCTTTCATTTTGCGTTTGCTTTGTTCTTATTCTTGCTTATAGTCGGGTGTATTTGCGCGGGGGAACCAACAACACAACCGGCATGCCTTTTGCATGTGCGTCTGCAGGAGGAAGAGAATTGGAACACACACACACACACACACACACACACACACA